CACCACTGCCCCCACTCGTGCCCCAGGGAGGGCTTTGCAGCCACGAGAGTGGGGGCTGAGACCCAGCAAACTCAGCCCATGTCCCGGTGAGGCCACTGCCTGCAGCCGTGATGCCACCAAAGGCACAGGACTGGTGGCTGGGCTGGCCTCAACCAGGGCCGGTGCTGCGGGATCGGTGCTGGGCCAAATGGGATGATTTGGTATGTGGCCACTGCTGCTGCCCAGCTTCTCCTCCTCACCCCTCGGCCACTTTGTGCAGTGAATGCTCTGAAAATGCCACGTGCAGGGTGCGTGGGACTTCGCTGAGCCCACGCCGGGGTTGGGGCCGAAGTACCTCGTGTGAAGCCCAAAAATGGCTTTTGCTGGTGTGAGCAGCCACCACGGTCAGGCCTGAGCCTCTGCCTGCTCTTTCCCCAAAGATACGAGATCCCAGACACCCAGACTGCCGACGAGAAGCAGCTGGAAATCCTGCAGGACAAGGCAAACTTCCGAAACTTCAAGCCCAAACCTTTTAACATGCTGGAGTTTTACGACCGAGCTGGCCACGACATCCGGGAGATGCTGCTGTCCTGCTTCTTCCGCGGGGAGCAGTGCACCCCTGAAGACTTCAAAGTGGTGAGTGACCCCGTGGCCTCGGCCCGATGCCGCGTTTTCCCCACGCAACGAGGGTGTTTGTCTGCCTTCAGCTCAGAAAGGACCGGCAGCGTCGTCATTAAGGGGATGCCAGGGGATGCTGCTGGGTTCTAGAGGTCCGGGTGCTCCCCAGGACGCGTGCTGCTCGGGGCAGAGCTCCCCGGGATCGCTCGGGCTCTGCAAAGAAGGGTTGTGCATGCCGGGCTGGAAACCTCGCGTTGGAAACTGCCACGTGGTGAGGAGGCACCAGTGGAAAAGCGGGGAGAGCCGCAGTGGTGGCCGCCGGGGAGCCGAGGGAGCCCCGCAATCCCTCGCAAAGCAGGTCCTGGTGGCACGGCACAGCGTTGTGCCCCGCCACGGAGGTTGCGTCTCACGCTCGTGCATGGATCCAGCGCACAATAAAGCCTTTATCCCCCTGCTGCTGCCTCTCCCCCCATCCAGCTGGGAATTCAACAGTGCCGGCTATTCGGGTTCTGCCTAATAAATTCGGCAGCCAGGGTGGCTCTTTCCGAGCCGGCTCCAGTATGGAGTGTGGGGCTCTGTGCTGTTCAGGGTCCCCGTCCTCGTCCCCAGCCTGGGGATGTCCCACTCGCGTCCCACGCCGAGCGTGGACGAAGCCACTGAGCACGCCAAGGCACCGGCCGGGTGTCCCGCGG